GATGACAGAATGGTGTTTGTTAATATATATATGAGGCCTCTCGAGACACAGTGGACACAGTAGTGTGGAGGCACAGAGACAGGCCAGGTTGTTCTCTGTGTTTCCTGTTGTTGCAATAAAACTCAGCTGATCATCCCGATCTCTGAGTACCTTCATTCTTGGACCAAGTATTTCTGTCTTTGTTAAATAAATATTGCCATAACAGTATCAATGACTGGATGCAAAACAGGTGCAATGATTAACTAAACAGGACCAGGTGTGATGGGAAAAGCAAAAAACTGAACATACCACAAGATTATTGATAAGGACCAAGGCCGACCTGACGGTCTTAACACACATACTCAATGTGTACACACACATGTATGTTATCCTATCCTGACGGGGACTTAACACTGACTTCTATTCATKTACCRGTCATTTCTTTAGCCTAACCCAGACACYTTACCCTAAATMTAATCTAAACTCTTTTACACGTTAGTGTACCGGGMTTTTRGCCTTTATCCCCATARGGAACAATGGGTCCTCACTAGGCTGTGTGTACMAGGAAAATGGTCAAAAACCATCAGGTAGAAAAAACATGCACACACATATACACATGTACTGATAAAACTTCTCTGTAGTTTCTTTCTGAAAAATAGGACAATTTTCCAATCATAAACACACTCAGGTTGAGCTCAGTTTCAGTGYCTTTTGCAAGAACAAAGAACAAACTCTGAATGGGTCAAAGTGRCATTTTGTCCATAAACCCGTGCTTCCTGCTGGTTGAATGATGAAGAAACCTGTAGTGTGACCACAAAAGGTTGACATCTGAGTGAAAACCCTCAGCAGCTGTTAAATGGGTTGCCATGAAATGTTATTAATGGATTCATGTCAAACTTTAACCTGTTTCTGCACTTAGTCAGACAAGTTCAGAGTCATCCTGACATTTTAACTAAATAAGTTGAAAAACAGGATATTATTCGGTCATGAGCACCACCTTCCCTGTACTTTCATTTCAGCAAATGTCAAACACTCTGTTACGACTAAAACTAAAGAGTATGAAAATGATTTCTAATTCAGGCTAAAGTTGCAAAACAGAACAAAAAGCATTATTATGTTACCAACTAAAACTATATAAAACATGGAATTGAACAAAGTCAAACTTACAATGAATTCCTGTCCCCTCACCTTTTTTTTTATTTAAATATTTAATGCTCAAAAACAAGTTGAGCAGATTTTCTTATGATTCGACTGCAGCAGTGTGTTGGACTTTATTACATCAAGGTCAGTAATAACCTGTGCACCGCAGGGAATTGATCTTTCAGATAAGCTTCCAGTGAGGATTAAAGTGAGACCAGTTTCATTTCACCAGCCGGATGGGTTAAAACTCAGAGTAAAAAACTACATTAGCACATTGGTGAAATGTCAGAAACACAGCTGTTGTACTCATTTCACATATACCTGCTAAGAAACCAACATAAAGCAGCATTTGTCACATATTTAACATCAGTCCAKCAGTGAYCYTTCTCCTGAAAGTTTCGAGAATTCAGTTTTCTTATTTTTTGTTTGCTTCCACAAACAAAAGTTTCCACAGAGAATACCAGAGCTCCTAAAGGCCTAACAAAGACTTGTTAATGCTTGTTTGTGTCCTTTAATGGGATTGGAATCATTATATTAACATATGGAGACTTCCCTCTGATCTATAACAAGCTCCTCTCCTCTCCTTYGAGACAGAATGAGGGGACAACAGTGAATTGTTTTCCTCTTTCTCTCCCTATGTTCTCACTTTGCCTCAGTTTTATTCCCCTCACAGAGACAAGAAAGACTGAGCGCAAAGCCTCAGTCTCTTGACATCAGTCCAGTTTTGAATTATATTTTTAGAGTRTAGATTTTAAAGTCAACACAGGCACCTTTGTTCCTGTATTGGTTT